TGTAATACAATGCACTGAATAGGTAGCATAGTAGGTTTAACCAGAAACTAGTGAATAAAGGACAGGAACAAAGGAGAAACTTCAGCTTTCATTTTCTTCCCCCAGGAAAGAAGATGAGATCATGTTTATTTTAGAATTAAAATTTTTTCTTGCTCTATTAAACTATGCTTGGCAAATGAAAATCCCATATATTTTATATGTACTATGTGATGTTTTAATATTTGTATACAGTGTGAAATTATTACCAAATTAAGCTAATTAACATCACATATTTATCTTTTTTTTTGTGTAAGAGCATTTATGATCTAGTCTCTTGTTCAAATACACATTAACTATAGCCACCATGTTGTATATTAGGTTTCTAATGCTCATTCATCTCATAGCTGAAGGTTTGAACTCTTTGACCTATTCCTCTTTTCTCTACCTTCCAACCCCTAAAAACCACTGTAAATCTTAATTCTGTTTTAGATTGCACTTATAAGTGATATCATGCAGCACTTATCTTTCTAGGTATGGATTATTTTATTTAGTGTAATGTCCTCAAGATCTATCCATGTTGATACAAATTGGATTATCTCCTTTGTAAATGCTGAATAGTAGTCTACTGTGTGTATGTGTATCACATTTTCCTTTTCCATTCATCCACCAACAGGTTTTAGGTTGTTTCCACATTTTGACTATTGTAAATAAAGCTGTAATAATGAGAGTCAGATATCTCGATGATGTACTGACTTAATTTCCTTTGGACATACACCCAACAGAATTGTTGAATCATTTTGTAGTCCTATTTCTAATGTTTTGAGGAACCTCCATACTGTTTTCCATAGTGATGGTACCAATTTATATTCCCACCAACAAGGTTTTCCTTTTCTCCATATTCTTGCTAACACTTGTTATCTTTTGAATTTTTTGATAAGTCATTCTGACAGACTTGAGATGGTATCTCATTGTTCTTTTGACTTTTTATTTCCCTTATGATTAATACTATTGAACATCTTTTCATATATCTGTTAGCAATTTGTAGGTTGTCTTTGGAACTTTGTCTATTTAAGTCCTTTGCCCATATTTTAATTGGGTTATTTGTATTTTACTATTGCATTGCATGAGTTTCTTATACATTTTGGATATTAACTCCTTTTTTAATATATGGTTAAAAAATATTTTCTCCCATTCTGTAGGATGTCTTTTCATTTTGTTGATTATTTCTTTCACTGTACAAACACTTCTTAGTTTATTGTCTCACTTGTCCATTTTTTGCTTTTGTTGCCTGTGCTTTGGAGTCAAATCTAAAAAAATTCATTGCCAATATCAATGTCAAGCAGCTTTTCTTCCATGTTTTCTTCTAGGAGATTTTTGGCTTCAGGTTTTAAGTCTTTAATCACTTTGAATTGACTTCTGTGTATGGTATAAGAGAAGATCCAATTTCATTTTCTTTTTATGTGAATACAAAGTTTTTCCACACCATTTATTGAAGAGTCTATAATTTCCACATTGTGTATTCTTGACACTTTTGTAGAAAATTAGATGACTGGAGATAAGCATTTATTTCTTAGCTCTCTTTTCTTTTTGTCCATGTGTCTATTTTTATGCCAGTACCACAGTGTTGTTATAGCTTTTTAATATAATTTGAAATCAGGAAATGTGATACTTTCCAGTTTTGTTCTTGCTCAAGACTGCTTTAGTTCTTTGGGATGCATTTGTGTGTGTGTGTGGTTTCATATGAGTTTTAAATTTTTGACTTCTGTGAAAAACACTATTGAAAATTTCATAGGGATTATCTGAATTTGTAATAGTGTGGAAATTTTAACACCACTAATTTTCCAGTATATGAACAAATGTGTCTTCTACAATTTCTTTCATTCAGTTTTCATCATACAGATCTTTTACCTCAGTAGTTCAACTTATTCCTAAGTATTATATTTTTTTCTGAAGCCATCGAGAATATAGGATTCTTTGGTTTCTTTTATGAATGGTTCATTATTAGTTTATGGAAGCACAACAGATTTTTGTATGCCGTTTTTGTATCCTACAACTTGACGAATTTATTAGTTCTAAGATTTTTTTTTGTGTGTGTATCTTCTTATTCTCATTTGTTTTTGGTGGAAATCTTCAGGATTTTTTTTTATACAAAAGAACATGTCATGTATAAACAGACAATTTAAGATCTTCCTTTAAATCTGAATGCCTTTTCTTTTTCCTACCTAATTCTTCTGGCTAAGACTTCCAGTAATCTGGAACAGAAGTATGAATACTGTCTAGTTTCTGATTTAAAGGTAAATATTTAAGTTTTCACTGTTGAGTATGATATTAGCTATGGGCTTATCCAGTATGGCCTTTATTACATTGAGGTACATTTATTCTATACCTAATTTGTTGAAGGTTTTTGTTATGAAAGTATGTTGAATATTAAATGTTCTCTTTTTCTCTCTTTTTCTGTTTTGTACTGGGGATTGAACCCAGGGGCACTTTACCACTGAGCTATACCCTCAGCCCTTATTATTTTTTGAGATGGGATCTCACAAAATTGTCAAGACTGGCCTTAAATTTGCAATACTCTTACCTCAGTTTTCCCAGTTGCTAGGATTACAAGTATGTGCCATTATGCTTTTGAATGCTCTTTCTGTATTTACTGACATAATTATACAGTTTTTTCTTTCATTATCTTAATGTGGTGCATCACATTCACCGATTTGCATAGGTTGAACCATCTTCCTGTTTTACAAGCCTGAACACACTTAAACCATAAAGTTATAATAAATATAGAAGTTTTCCTCAGTGTTTTAAAAGTTACTAAAATACTTCCAGGACTTTGTATTATAAAATTGACCAGCTATCCTTTCTTAAAGAGATCCTCAGTGTCCCATAATAATATCATGATTTTATAAGGTACTTTACAGTTCATAGAGTTTATATGCATTATCTCATTCCATCTTCTTTTGTATTTGTCATAATCCAAATCCTCAGCAGAAAGGTGCCTTGCATTGACTAGATCTCAGAAAGTCACATTAATAATTCTCAAAGTATTAACCATTTCCTGATTTATACAGTCTAGTTTACAAATGTGATCATGCTAATTTACTATTTCAAATTTTTTAACAATTTATCATTTCCTTAAGATAAAGTCATTTTATTTATTTTTGAGGGGGGGAGGGGAGAGAAGAGAAAGAGAGAGAATTTTTTAATATTTATTTTTCAGTTTTCGGTGGACACAACATCTTTATTTTTTTATTTTTGTGTGGTGCCCAGGATCGAACCCAGTGCCCCGTGCATGCCATGCGAGCGCGTTACCGCTTGAGCCACATCCCCAGCCCAAGATAAAGTCATTTTAGAGTTTTCCATGACAATCCAGACTAAGTTATAACCCTTATATGCACTTGCATTTATTCTATACCTAATTTGTTGAAGTTCCTGTACTTCTTCCTTCACATCTATCACACTTATCTTTTAAAATAGCTGTCTTTCCTGATAGATTTGAACTCCACATATTGGATATTGTCCTAGGTGATTAACAAATATTTCTAAGAGTTATAGTCCTAATTATGTTATATTTCTCAGTTGTAAACCAGAAAGACGAACCCACTGTGGTTAGGCTATAAATTTCTAGTTCTACAGAGCTAAGGTTTTGAATACAAGGAATTCACCCTAAGTACTACCTTGTCATATCTTTTGACAAGTAATAATTTACCCTATCCTTAGGGACACCCCTACCATAACAGTATGTTTTCAAACTTCAAAAAGGAGATCCATCTTCATTAATACCTAAATTTATAAAGAGGGTGTTTCACTTTACCATATCCAATTACCTTTCACAGATTTTATCAACTTGCAGTTGTGCCAAGTTTTTTCACAGGCCGGTCCTTCCATTTTAGGAGGCTTCAATTAACTAGATTTAGTTGTGTCATGGCTAAATGGATGTGACTAGAAAAGGGTAGCATATAGCAATCTCTATGTAAATTATTTCTCTATTGGTTAACATTTATGTTTGAAATTGGAAAATCAATTAAAAGGAACTTAAATTAATTTCCAACAACCATCCATTACAAAAAGGGGGTCAGGTGTCACTATTTTTGATTCCAAGATAGCAACAAAACTAAATCCTATTTCAAAACAGCAAATGGGAACAGAAGTCAATAGGCTTTGCTTTTTGTCTTTTATTTTTAAAACACTACACATTTACTAAGTGCACTGCAGAATTTTAAATGCTTTTAAAAGCAATGGGCATATAAGTTTAAGGTAACTTGAGGAAGCAATGTAAATCTTCATTTTCTACTGTAGCAAAGATTCCTTCTATACATAAATATAGAAACCCCATTAGCGTCCAGAACAATGCCTAGCCCAAAATGAGCATTTAATACTTATTTGTTGAACAAATGAAAGATACTCGAGTTTGCGAGCTGGGAAGTGACTGTCGCCCTGAAGCAGGTATGCAATCTTTTCAGCAGGCTAGCTGGCATTTTCTTATCTCCTCACCCTCAGGGTGGCCAAAACGGGGTCCCTATATCCTTACACTCCTCAGGTAACCCGCTAATTTCTCACACAGCTGCAGCTGTTTCTGAGGACTTTCTGGCTCAGCTGAGTGTGGGCAGCAAGCAGACCTGGACTCAGCCCTCTGGCTCCAACAAAGAGTCTGGGCCCTTGTTTTTCCAAACCGTGATAAACAACCAACCTGCTCGCCCTCGCCTCCCCATGCAGACAGACGCCTCGGTGCCAATACCAGCTCCGCCTGACACCGTGAGAAAAGAGAAACAGCAAGTCACCACCGCTAGGAGCGGGAGCGAGGCGAACGCGCCACGCACAGAGCTGCGCCCCCAGGTGCCCGTCTTTCCCGCGTGCTCCGTCGTCCGACGCCTCACGCGCGAGGTTGCGGGGGCCGCGGCGCAAGGGCAGCCCCGGGCGCGTGCGCGCGTAAAGGGAGGGGGCACCGCGCGCCAGCAGGTGGGCGCGTCCTCCCGCGCGCGTGCGCGCACACTCTTTCTCACGTTCCCGGTGCGCCTCGTCCCCTCCCCGCCGAGAGCGCGCGCCTCCCGCCCTCGCGCCGGGTCCCGCTCAGTCTGTCAGCCGCACACTCCCTAGAGCTCCTGCCAGGGCCGTCGCCTCGGCCGCGGCTCTCCAGCCCGGCGGCTCAGCCTTGGCCTCTCGGCGCCCTGTCTCAGATCTCCTCCCCGCTTCACCACTACCCTTCCTTTCCCGCCCTTCTGACCCACCCACCCCACTGAGAGAGAGCCTGGATACGAAGCAGGCGGGCTTGAGAAGGGGGTTGGAAAAATGGAGGTGCCGCGCCTGGATCATGCCCTCAACAGCCCCACCAGCCCCTGTGAGGAGGTGATCAAAAACCTTAGCCTGGAGGCCATTCAGCTGTGCGACCGGGACGGTAAGAGCGGCCGGGACCGAGAGGAGAGGGGCCGAGCCCGCGCCAAGGCTTGCGGCCGCCCGGGCCCCACCGACGTCGCCCGTTCGGGCGGCAGGGTCTTTTGTTGTCCCCCAGGGTGCTAATAAATGCAGGTGCGAGGTCCCCTCCTTCCCCTCTCACCCCAGAAACAAAAGGACCCCAGGGCTTGCGTCTTGGCGCGGAAAGTCGCCCTGGTCCACGGCGTGGGTCGCCGCCTTCGCCTGCCTGGCCCGGGGAGGGCGCCGTTGGCGCCCGCGGCTCCTGCCGGGACCAGGCGTTTCCGATCTTTGCCGCAGTCCGGATTTCCCGGGTCCGTTGGCACCGAGGGAAAATGCCCTTTGGGGGTTTCTGTCACTTCCATCAGGCACGCAAACAGTAGTTAGCATTCCCTGCCTAGAAACTTACAGACAATGCTTTTGGAAGCCCCCCATCCTCAGACTCCCTAAATTAAGTCCATTTATCCTCTCAAATTGGGGTGAGAGTGACAGTTTTTTAGTGAAGGGGCGAGGGTGGGGTGGGTTGGAAATCCCAAGCATTTCAGCACCAAGGACAGGCACTGGCTTCAAGGTTCAGGGCTGTGATTCAGACTGTCAAAAAATGTCTGTAAAGGAATTGGCCTAATATAGCTGCTGTGATTCAGATTATGTGCGAGCTAAGCACCATTGTGTTCCGATATTGTATTGTTTATTCTATTGTTAAAGTTGGCAATCTCCTAAAGAAGGAAATTGGACACAGGTCTGAGCGTTAAGGGGATAAACTAGTACTGTGTGCAGTGTGGGTTACCGGGCATCTGTGTTAGTTGGATTAGCTGGAGAGTCAGTGCATTTGCAATAATGTGGAATAAAACTTCATTTGTAAAGAAGTCATTTAATTAGTGTTTGGTTGGCCAAACAATTGTAAAATTCTACATCTGGCAACAGAAAACCAATTTACAGATTGTCAAGAGGACTCTGAATTCTTTGGACTATGAATGAAATTAATGTTTAACTATATAGAGAGCTAATGATTGTAAAACATTTTTAAACCAAAGTTATGTAGAGATACCAATATGCTCCCAGTAAGATCATAAAATTTTATTAGTGTAGGCCAAATAGGGAGCAGAAATCTTGTTTGCAAAGTCATTTAAATGGTCTTAAAGTTGTTTAGGTGTTGCTGTTTGGTATATTTAGGTTAAGTAAACACCAAAGTTTAGTTTACTTCTGTTAATATCTACTAATTTTGGAACCAAAATTCAAACCAATGACAGTTTGAATAATTTCTGAAATAGTATTATAGTATAATAAATATGTATTCTTACCAAGGCTACTTATATTTCCTTTATTCATGGATGGTTAAGTGTGTATATTTAGCTCATCTAAAAATCTTTTTGGAATGCCTTATATAAGTTTGTGTGATTAGACTAAAGGTTATTTTAAATATATCACATAGGAAGTTATTTGAGTTTTAATTTATACTTTCATGAAGTGACTTTGTAATGCTACCATTTTAATTTGCAAATATTTTAATTTTCTTAGATTGGTTTGAGAGGAAATGAAGAATCAAATAAGAAGTAGATGTCAGTAGTTGGAAGTGGGTAATTCATTGTTGTTCCTCAGATCCCAGTAATCTCGATATTTAAAGTGAATTAATCATGTTTCAAAGATATTAGGGAAAATAAAGTTTAGGGGCTTTTTAAATGAAGTTTACAGCGAGTTAATGTAGAGTGCAAAAATTAATGCTACATTTATTGTGGTCTTTTCTAGAGTAGTAGCTATTTTGTTCTGGTAATATTTTGTAGGTGTTTCTGTTCACATTGTGAATTTTGCAAAACGAGCAAATTATGTAACATTTAATTGGGGATATTTGCAATAAGCAGTTTCTATGAAAATTACTATTTGAAGACCTCTGATTGATTTATTAGAGACTAAGTAGGCTTCAGTAGGTAAAATAGCTTATACCAATGAGTACAACAAGCTAACTATTCTATTAGAAGATTCATAAAAATTTGGAATGACTAGTGTGGGCAGTTGTTAAATGGTTAACTTTTTTTTCTTTATGATCCTACCTTAATGTATCAATTCCAAAATATTAAATTGGCTTGATGGGAATTATTTAGAGGGGATAATGTAGTTGTTTTTGAAAAATAGTTTGTGAAGTATTGCATTAAATTTGTCAATCAGACCTTATTTAGCATCATTTTACATTGAGAAATTTTCAGCTGGGTGGTATTTTGTTCCTTTTGCTTCGTTCACTTTCCTTCCTCTCAGGTCTCCTTATTTTACTTTTGCCTTAAGCACATAAGTATATCTTCTGCCACACACTTGCCTTTCTACACTATATAGTTATAAGTGTGTGGCAGAAGACATACTTATGTGCTTAAGTATATAATAAGCGTTATATTTTCATAATTTTATGATCATTGAAATAGATTTTTCTCATTTATTCTTTTCTCATTTTACTCCACTGTTAATTTGATAATGAAAAAAATAAAACATCAATTCCTTAAAAGTATAATAAAGTGTAACAGTTGAAAGTATAGTATGATTGTTAAATGTACATTCCTTTATCCTCTCCACTCATACATGTTTTAAATTTTATAATGTTTTGCATATTGTATGAACTAAAAGCTATAGCATTTAGGAACATAACTGTATGTCTTTCTTATGTTCCCTTGGCTCTTCTATTTTATATTTTTAATTGTTACTTGCCTATTTTCCTGTACATTGATGTTTACATTATTAGCATCAATTCACAATGTTTCTTTTTTCCTAGCCTATAAAAATATTTAGTAGTCTTGGAAGAATATAAATTAGAGTTCAAGTGGTCATGTAATTGGATTTTTAATTAAGCAAGAGGGTTCTTATAAACACACAAACACATTATGGGTAGTCTTTCTTTTGGTTGATAGTATTTGGTCCCTGCCCAGGTGTGAAGTTACTTGAAGTTCAAATAAGGATTCTGAATAGATTTCTATTAGGAAATCTTTAAGATGCACTGTAGATTTAGGGGCTCATATAAGTCTGTATTGGAAATAGGAGACTATGTTTGTTTCTCCATCTCTGCTGTGCTGAAATATACTCAGATTGCAAACATGATATGATTTCATTATGACTTCTCAAAAAATGGGAGGAAAAAATAATTTTTCACTTGTTAGCATCAGTAATATGGGAACTCATTTCCAGGTCATTTCTTTTCTTCTTGTAGAAATTTCAGATGCTCGTTGACCTGATGGGAATAAATTTTAAAGAAATTACACAGAAGCTGACAGATTTAACTTTCTTTGTTTCTAACAATAGTTCTGTGAAGAAAAAGAAAAAAACAGTTTTTTCCTTTTTATATGTTTAAAAAATAGATTTCTTCAAATGTGTACTTTATCATACCTATTTAAATTATAAATCTGTTGAACCTCATTATTTATGCTCATGCATGTGTGATTTAAACAAATTTTGACTCAAAACAAAGTAATCCACATGCTGGGAAGCACAGTGCCTATTAGATAATCCTTGATAACATTTTCTGAAACAAACATTTAGGAAAAGTACCCATACTCTTTAATATCTTTATTACAATAATGTAATTACTCAGTCTCACTGACATGCTGTGGGGGTATGTGTGTATAATAATACCATAACAAATATGACTTTGGTTAGAATATTGATTCCATAGCTGTCCAACCGTAGGCAAGTGACTTAACATTTTTAACAAAGTGGGCATAGTAATGTCAGTTGTATAGAAGTGTTGAAATAATAAAATGAAGTATATAGTATACAAATAGAGTAATAATTATTGTAAATGAAATATTATTCTCCAAATATGTTATTGAATTAAACTGCTTTATCTCTCTTTTTTTTGCTAATGTATTAGTCTATGTTGTTTTTCATAATTTCAGTTGTGTATTGTTATTTAGGAAATCTTCTACTTTATGAGTAATTAATGCAAACTAAATTATGTATTTTAAAAGAACAGTAAATTTAAAAATCACAGTTAAGTAGTCTTATCCCTTGATTTTATCTTACCATCTCATCAATAATCTTTGTTAGCCTTAGCTCTAAAATATATTTTCATATTCTAATTCAAATCTTTTTGTTTTCTTTTCTTGTGCCTTATGACCTTAATACCTGTTTTGAGTAGGTGTTTGCATAAGAGCCCTTCTTTGTCTTCCTTTTCAGTACTTTTTAAAATATTTTTTCTAAGGATAGCTCTGTATGAGGTCATATGACCTCTGTATTCATTTCTTTTACTCTGGTATGACTATGAAGATGCTGCAAATTCTCATTAGTGAATATGGAAAAAAACAAAAATAAGAACTTAAAAGAAACTAAAAATTGAAACTCATCAGAATTATGTTAAACCAATTCATATTCTTGGTACAGATTCTCATTCATTCCCCTGGAAGACCAAGAAGTTATTACAGTAAAAGTTTCATCAAAGGATATGTGGCCAGACTCCCTCCAGTGGTAGAATGACTGATGTGTCATAAGTAGTAACACTGGCAATTTGCTCTATTGCCCAGGTAGGCTGGTCAGAAATTCACTCTATAAAGAACAGTATCTACACAATGTCCCAGACTACTTGGTTTTATCTCCACTAGTATTTCCACCTTGTGTATGCCCAATCTTGATTTTTTACTCTGATGTAAATAAACTTTTCCCTTTTGAATTGTATCCTGGACTTCAGTGTTAGCAACAGTTATATTGCTTATTGCAGCAAGCATGATCCTTCTAGTTTATGATTTCCCTTCTTTGTCCTTAGTAAATGCATAATTTAAGTTTTGCCTTGTAGAATATGCCTCTTTCTTGGATTTATTTTCCATTATTGTTAAATTTCTCTGTAAAAGTCTTTTGTCTTTTATTATTTAAATCCTGACATGACTACTTGAAAACGCATGCCTCATGCCTTAACTGTTTAAAATATTTTGTTATTACCAGACAGTAGTTAAATATTTACTGAGCTGGTAATGTTTCATACACATACATTTGAGAAGTAAAATTAGCGTTTGGGCA